GCTCTTCGCTCAAGCTCGAACTCTACATTGCTGTTTGCCAAAATATCTGCGTTGACCGGAAGCGAGAGTCTCCAGCTCGCGGATACCTAACCTTGCGTGGGAAAAAACGACCGAAACCTCCAACGCGCAATGTCATACGCAACTGTGGCAGCCAAGTCACCAGAACCTTCTTCAACCGCCACCTCGACTTCGCCGGCTGCTTCTTCGGCAACTGCCGCGACCGGTCCCATGCAACAACAAGAGGCGGAGAGTCGTAGTGGACCCGTCAGCGGAGGGTTATTGGGACAAAAGTTGGAGAAATTGAGGAGCGAAGGGATTGAAGTCGTCATGGACTATGGACCCAGTCCTCGCAACGAGGCTCGTGGTGGAGAGACGGACATGCAGGTGGATCCGCAAAATAAGCCTGTTGGTGAGTTGGGGAGGGCAATTTTCGCTATAGGTAAACAAAGTGATCGTGCTTAACCGTGCGCATCTCATTTGATTTTCCTATCCAGCGCAAGATACCATATTGTGTGTGGCCAATTGCAGCGGGAAGCTCTGGTCTATCAATGAATTTGCTCATAAACGAAACGCGAAGGCAGTCATTCATTGCGGAGACTTTGGATTCTTTGGTACGTTGATGATCCGTAGACAGAAGATGAAGTATCTCACCCGTCCGGCTGATCGCATTTGAATTATCGTCTTTAGATCTTGAAAGTGTAAATGATATTAGCGACCAGTAAGTTCTGAACCCTGGGTCTCCTGTTTGCGGCTGGGATCCCGAAGCTAATACTTGCACGCGGATGTCCCTCCAGATCCTTGAGAAAGCTAGTCCAACGCAGCAACTTGATTTCCGAACAAGAAAAGGCGCACCTGTTGCATCTGGACGACGCCAGTCTCCGACGGGAGGTCGCAGGAGGGGCTAGGCTGTCGCAACTTGAAGAGTATTTGGATGGAGTGAGAATTTTTAGCGTGCCTGTGTATGTGATATACGGGCAGCATGAGGACGTAAGTTTGCATACCTTGCGTACAATCGTCAGTACGCTCCAGGACAGAGCAGCGTCTTCACATTTCTTTTGTTTAGGTCCGCGTGATTGAAAAGTTCGTCAATGGCACCTATCGGATTCCCAACCTCCATCTCATCCACGAAACCCAATCAGGCCGGATCCCAATCGATGAGCATGGTACCATGCTCCGCATCTTTGGTGTCGGCGGCGCAATTATCGAAGACAAATTGTTTGATCACGGTGAGGCCAGAAGGCCACAGGCTGGCGGGGACGGTAAAGCATGGGCCACCATGCTTCAGATTGGGCACATGATAAGGGACGCTGATGGTGATGGCGAGAGGAGCGATAAAGAAATTAGAATGTTTGTCACGTCGGGGAGTCCAGTGCATAAAGTGGCGGCGGCACAGATTGCTCTTAGAATTCAGGTACTTCCTTGCCTCTGTGTCATCTTTTTCCGAGTACAGACACTGATGTGGTTCATTGTTTAGGCGGATATACTTATTGGTATCGGAACCTCTCCTTGGTGTCCGCTCATTTACAACCATAAATTATTGCAAACGGGGGACACTTTCAGCGCACGGTGCATGGAATCTGAGCGGTTGTTCTTCAAGTTGTTTTCAAAAGTTCGACAAGATTTGGAAGCGCATGCAAGGTGGATGTCAGAAAAACATTATCGGAAATTCTTTTTACCGTTGATCATTAAATTCCAATCTGATGTTCAGTGACACTCAAAAACGGCTTCTGCAACTCGCCGCATCCGCGTGGTCCTGTGTACCTCGTTCGGAAGATGGATATGCAAACCTCTTGTTCTTTACTTTGCCTGATGTGTCTTCGGGACAGGTCAGACTGGACTTCCGAGATGAACAGTTTGGGCATCAAGTTTTTGCCTCTGGTATGACGCTAGATGCTGTGACACTCAATATTTTTGGAGGAAGAGGGTGTACGTTCTCAAGTTAACCGACTTTTAGGTTGCTCTCTTCCAAGTCGGAAACCGCGTTCCTCCCAACCTGCGTCCACACAATCTTCTCCCCGGCCTTCAGCCAAACCGTCCTGGCAAAGCTCATCTGCCACCGTATACGTCCAACCGCCGACTCCAGGCACAACCACTCCAGGAATTGCCACTCCGGGAACCGTCACGCCGCCGCTCGCTCAAAATCACCGCGGTCTCCTTCCATCTCGCAGCTTGGACAGTCTGGCATCTTTCCGCCACGATTCGGGTATTGCTACCGCAGCTTCACAGAGCGCGGCGCCCAGTAGAGCCTCCAATGCATCTATGCCGGAATGGGAGAATGCATCGCCCATTATTGTCAGACCCGAGAATCACGGTGTAGTATCTGCGCCCAACGGTGGCGCTGTTGGCCAAATGCACAACCCTCTCGCCCGCCGGCATTCCGTTCAGCAGCTCTCTGCATGGGAGGAGGCCAACGGCGTCGGCGCTGGTGCGGGTATGGGTGGTCCGAAAGTGTCAAATTGGGAAACGCCAGTTGTGCCAGGCGTCTCTGATGGCATGGTGAAGCTTGGATGGGATTCCCGGTCCGCCGCGAGTGATGATATTGACGCGGTGAGTGTGATCTGATCCGTGTTTGCGAGGACGCAAGTATCACCAATTGCTCCGATCCTTATTGGCATCTTTAAATTTTGCAGCCTACTCTTGGTATGACTCTCTGGGTGGGTAACTTACCAGATGCGCTGACGGAAGACGATCTTCGCTTGTTTTTCCGAGCCGTTCCGGTAGGGGTCTCTTCCGCTTTTCACAATCATTGTCGCACTTTGCGTTGACGACATCGTCTTTCACAGGTGTTGAGAGTCAAAATCCATGACAACCGGCCGGACAGACGTCCTTGCGCATACGTCGATGTTCCCGATCAAGCTGCGTTGGATAAGGCGTTGAAGCTGAGTGGCGAGGTACGTGTACAGGTGGAAGGCGGTTAGAGCGACCGTGTTGTCAAGGTGTCTTAGCTGATATGAATCGTACTTTCAGAGGTTGCTTGGAAGTCGTTTGAAAGTTGAATACAATCCAAGCAAGTTGAAGATGCGGGATGCTGAGCTGCGGGAAGCTGAGAAGGAGGCTCACCGTCGCGCTTGTGATGCTGCGCTTATGGGGTTCGTACGATTCTCTAATTGATCATTCGTTTTCCGCGTGTGCTGATAATCTTTGTCACAATGCAGGGGTCCGAATTATGACATTCAGTCACGGCCCCGGTCGGCTTCCTTCAGCTTGGGCACGAGGTCTTCGGGCGCCTCCCCGATTATGGAGTTGCCCCCGAATGGGTGGCCTCAACCAACCCCCCAACCTCCCAGCAACGTTAAACCTCAAGATGTTTCCGGAGCGGCACCACTGGCTCCCGTCCCTGTTCCCATTCCTGCGTCTAACGGGTGGTCCAACAACAACAATGCCGCAGCCACCCAGCCCAACGCTCCACAAGCAAAAGAGACGAGCTGGGACTCACCGCCAACGAAAGGCACGACCAGCTTTTCCACTGGGCTCGCGTGGGACAAGCCGGGCCACAAACAGGAGTCAGCGGTTGTTAGCGTCGGGTGGGGTGGGACTCGACCAGCTGCTCCGCAACCTTCAGTTTCCGGATCCACGGGTGTTAAGGAGGTGCCACCCGCCTCTATGGGCGGTGTGGGCGGTGTAGGCGGTATGGTTGGCGCAAATGGACGACGATGGTCGGTGACGGAAGGACTTGAGGGTCAGCATATGCAAAACACGCAGTCGTGGGATCAGCATGCTCAACGGACCAATGGCGGTGTGGGGAATGGGCCCGGATGGGCAGCAGATGGGAACTCGCTGGGGTTGGGAGGCATGACGGGGGCAGCTGCTGTACCAACTTGGTCTCAAGGCTCCACGGGGGCCGGCGGCGGTGCACTTGTTGATAATGGCGACGTATCGGGCAGATGGAACGGAAATGGTCGTGCGGGTTCTGTGCCGTCAATGAAACCGGAGGTGTCGCCCAATCTCATCCGTCGGGCAAGTCAGACATGGGCTTCGAGCCCCATTCCATCCACTGTGTGGAGCCCGACCACTGTTGACGCGTCGTCGGGCATGGTCGGTCCCAACAACTGGAACGGAAGTCCTGTGATTGGAAACTCCAATACCTGGAAGAATGGAACGGGGAGCGTCGCACCCGCACAACCCACTTGGCAAGCACCCATGGCCGGAGGAGCCAACAACGGTCCCGCCGCAGTTCCGGGCCCTTCAAACGTCTGGGGCCCACCCACCGGCAACTCTCTCAGGCGTCCCAAAAGCATGGGGAACCTTTCGACCGTCTCCGCGGGCGTTGGCGCCGGATGGAACAACAACCCGCGCTTCCCCAACCCATACGGCCATAAACAGAGCGCCGGTTGGAGCGCCGTTCAATCAAACGAGATTGGTGGAGCCGCGGCCGGGTGGGACGCGTCGGTCCCCAAGGGCGTTTCCCTGATGGAAATCGACGCACCGAACCCCGCCACGACCAACAACAAACCGTTCGGTAACGGAGGCATGGTGGGAGCCCCGTCTTGGGGCCCGGCGGACAATGGGTTCCATGCCACCGCTGGTGGACCGTGGGCCCAACAACAGCAGCATCCAAACTGGCGCGGCAACTGATTTTACAAAACCAAAACCGAAAACAACCTATCCTTCTCTCTCTCTCTCTCTTCCATTTCAACCTCTACCGCGGGGAACCGACACATATCAACACAATCCAAAACCTTTTTGTCAAACTATGGATACGGATTCTTACGAAAGAATCTTTTTTTCTCTTCCTTCCCTTCGTTTCTCCGTTTCTCGTTTATAGCCCGTTTTTATGTATTCCACGCATATGTTAGTGGGAGGTGGGGAGTTGCGTGCGTTGGTGGTGGGGCTCCCTGATTTTTATTCCTGGATGGCGCTGTTTAATCCTAAGAATTTTTATTCAAAACCTGTCCATCCTGCCGCAAGATTTGGGGTAGGTGAGGAAACCCACTGCCAACACCAGTAGACAAACAAGAAATCAAAAAGTTTGGATGCTCGAAGGAAAAAAAAAAAAACAGAACCCACGGCGGGACTCGAACCCGCAATCTTCGCCTTTCCGCTGATCACGTGACGATCACGTGACTAGGAGGGCACTGCCTTGTCCATTGGGCCACGCGGGCGTTTGTCTTCTTTGTTCTTTAAAGATCAGGACCATACTTGACCGTAAGTGCACTGCCTTGTCCATTGGGCCATGCGGCTTCATCTGCTTTCAAATTGAGTACTTCCCGGTTGTATATATCCAGTAACACGACTTGACTTTTACTCAAGATTGAGTTGCTTGTGCCCGAAAACCTTTTGCTTTCGGGACGTCTAGAGTGGCGGTGAATAGTGAGGTGAGAGTGTAAAAAGCCTTTGATGTGTTTACCAGCCCAACGGATATGGTGAACATTCACCGGAGGCGACCGCTTTCCCTTTGATCCTTTTGATTGAGGGACGGGCATGTGGGTCATTGGTCCTGCAGTCTGGGGTTCGCGGGTGCATTCCTCCACGCGGCGCCACGCGGACGTCCTTTATCTTTGTAGAAAACAGTGTGTCGCAGTTGGTTATCAACGGAGGGCACTGCCTTGTGGCAGGCGTTGTTCTAGTTCAGCTTGTTGACTTTTTTTTTACGGAGCCAGCAGAATCGCCCGTGAATAGTTTGGTTCTCGGTGGGTATCCGCATGCCCGGAAGGAATGAAGGGTCTTCTCCGACTTTTGCCGCACAAAGTTGTGTTGCCCGCCTCGAGGGACTTAAAGTACGAGCCATGCCCTCGGGTCGCGGCATGTTCACCGCCGCGTTGACATAATTGGGAGCTACCCGTACTTTTCTTTCGCCCATTCGGGCTCCTCAATGTTCTTTCTCGAGATTTGTTAGTCCTGAGTTCGCTGAACACTGGAGAATGCTAGAGACGCTGATAAATGGTGCGTTGACCAGATGCATTGACCAGACACACACCAGGTATCAGGGGCGAGGTGTGTATTTGACATTAAGTTAAGTGGGAATTTTTAAGTTAAGTGGGAATTTTTTTGCTCGATGTTCTCGACGGTTGGCAGCCTCTCCGACCTTTTCTAGTACACACTTATGCCTGAAGCGCTCGGTGTGTAACCACTGTGGCCCTCCAAGGCAGGGCTAGGTTGGTGGTGCGCAGTTGTTCAGTTTGGTGGTGGTAAAAGTACGAGGCGACCGGAAAGAGTATCGCGCCCCAGGTTCCTTTCCCCTTTTATATTGGACCCATACTTGTTTTTTTGTGCTTTGTTCTTCCGGCCACTTTATGTCGTAGTACCATTGCTTGCTCTGTAAACCTGGGACCCCATTGCCCAACGCTGATTTAGCCCAATCCATCTTCTTGCACTACGTGTGGTAAGCCATTGATGTCGTTTGGGGTTTTGGTCTTTCGGACGTGGTTCTGTCGCCTGCTCTATACGACGCGACCTATTCATTGACAATGAATCAACCCAATGTGGGTCTCGACATCATGTGTTGCTGGAAACACGGACGCCCATCGATGCGATTCAACACCTTTTTTTTTGGCGCAAGCACTACGTTGGGGATGACGGTTGTAATCCCAGCGCCGCTTGTTGTGTATGCCCGATGTGTTTACTGGCACGGCATCCTTGTGCCGAGACGCCATCTTTGTGCCCCGTGAAAGGGTTCAAAGAATCTTCCTTAGTCTAATATGCTCTCGCTCATCATTTTTCGGTTTGCTCCTGTGTGCGCAGCACGAGTATCCAACTGGTTTCTTCAAGGGACCTTGGGAAATGGGTGCTTCCGAGAAAAGGCTCTATAACCCCCTTCCTTTTGACCTGTACGAGCGAGCCCGTCCAAACCTCTCAGATCTCGTCTGCGATTGCCTGACTCCTTCCCGTAATTGGTCGGAAAATGAGCAATTATATTCCGACCATATTCGCGGTGCGAAGCCTCTGGACAAATGGTTTCCAAGATGCACATGTCAACGGGAGAATCAAGTAAATGACTGATTGAGGTAAGGCGTGGACGTACTTTGCGTCAATAGCCACGAAAACTGGGTCCTTCTTTAAGTCGTCCCCGATTCGAAGGTTTCCTGTTTCAAAAAAATTATAAATGGTGCTTTTTTTACAGAGCCAGCCGAGGCCCTGTCCAACTACCATGTTGTGCATCCACATCAAAGAGAAGCAGTTTCGGCGCTTTCACCCAATTGGTATGCGACCAGTTTACCCAGGAAACGAATCCAAAGAAATTCACCCCAATGTGATGACCCTCGCTGTCTGCACTTCCAGCCATTGGTCTGGGGTTGCTGTTGGTTTCACAGCAGTGAGGCCTACTCTTTTTTCAACGGGGCAAGGTAAATTTACGTCCTTTTACTGGCATACGGTGGTTAGTCCATGGACATAGACATGCAATAGCAACCATGGACTTTGCGAGTTTTTCTGGTTTCTGGAGAGACGGTATCCAAGGTCCAGGGTCTCCAGGGTATCCGGGAATCCCGGTTAGACCAAACGATCAAGTGGTTCCATGGCCGTCAAACACGTGGTAGGGAGCGACGGACAATTTGAATCGGAAACCGGAAAAGGAGAACTCGCATCCGTTGACTGTGCTGAGAAACTCTTCCTGGACAATGGGTTGAGGGAGTAAATGTAAGCGATAAAAAGGGAATTACACGTCATCTTACGGGCGGTCCGGTCGGGGTTACCCAAATAACGACGCGTCTCCTGCACCTGGAGATTCGCCATTAACAGCTCAAATTACCTCGCCTAAAGGAATGGATTCACCCGCCTTACCCTTATTATTAACCAGTGGAACTGTAATTTATCCGGAAGGCACTTCGGAAAGCATGCATTTCCGCGAAGAATAGAGTTTCGGTGCCGAAAATCGGCCGACCCCCCCACCCCGGTCTCCAGACTTGGCCAGTATAGTCTGCTCCCACCCGATGATTAAAATAGGAACAGGCACGCACCGTCTCTTCGTCGCGAAGCAGCGTTCTCAGCAAAGGCGAGCATAGAACGAGCGATCCATTCGCGCTGAGGTCCAAAATGAATCATCTCATCTCCCTTGTTCGCTGCCTTCATGGCATGTCTACTAACTCGTCAACGCGCGTTTGTTTCGAAGGCTGGGGTGTCCGATTCCATTCAACATTGATGATAAGGCTCTGTGTCCAAATTCCATTGATCAACCGTCGCGCCCTCAACTCACTTGACGAGTCCGGGTGGGGACATTTGGAATAAGCGCAAACATTGAGATCAAAAGGTTAGTTTGAACCCAAAGGTGTATAAAAGGGAGTCCTCAGTGCAATCGATTGACTGTTAACAGAACCCCCTCTCTCATCCCACTTCAGCGTTTGAATTCCTGTTTCAATTCCATCACCTACCCTGAAATACGAGCATGGACACCAAGCAACCGCTCTCGTCCACCGGCGGCGATCCTACAATGTCGATGAACAGCAACGGGGAGGCTGTCCCAACCAACCGCGTCTGGTCATGGTCTCGCTTCTTCAGTGGATTGAAACAAGGACGAGCTCCCATATCCGTAGTGCTGATGATGTTCATTGTTCCCCTTTCTGTTGGTGTGGCTGCCGTAACGTGGGCGTTGACGTACAGCGCTGCTTTGGTGAGTCATTATGATAATACATTTTGCTAAACTATTGCGCCTGCTGACTCAACCGACTTCAGACGGCCGCCTCAACCCTCGCCGACTCCCTCCAATCCCAAATGCTCACCGGCATCGCCTCGGAATTCACCTCCCGCATCAATGCGTTAGAACAGGCCGTGGATGAACATACCCGCAACTGGCAAGCCGGCCGCTTTTCCAAAGAAACCGAACCCGACAGGTTCAACGTCTTCAGGACCCTCCTCGGCACTCTCGTCCCTCACGTTCATACCTACTCGGCTTTGCATTTTACTTTGATGCCTGAGGGCGCATTTTGGGGCGCAGATTCGTGGATCAATGACGATGGGTCGGCGCATTTTGCTGCAATGTTTCAGCGTGGAGCCTTTTTTAATTATTGGGACTCTAATGAGGATGGGAGTAACATCACGCAAAATGACTGGGATGAAGAGAGAACCTTTGAGAACGCACAATGGGTTGTGGTAAGAATTGCCTCTGACATACAAGTACGCAAGCGCTGGGCGAGCAAATCGAACTCACCTCCTTTCCTGTTTTCCAGGATCTCGATAACACGAGCAGCACTTCCGCCGCCTGGACCAAACCATACTTGTTCACGGATTTTGGTTTCGCAACCCACTCTCGCACCATCTTCCAGAACGGCATTTTCATTGGCGTCCAAGGCGGAGACTTTGGGCTTGAGTTTGTCGGCGATGCTTTGAGACAGGCCGCCGACACCATCCCTTACCGCAGCTACATCTTCGCATTCGGTCTCGACCAGGCCGGCGACATTCTCATCGGATCTTCCATCAGCTATTACATTGGCGACCTTTACCGACGCGACAGCGACGGCCGTTCCTTGGCATTGTTAACACTCCCCGAACTCGCCGCCAACCAAACCTTCTGGGAACCCATCCGCGTCCTCCAGGCCCACCTCCTCCGAACCACGCAAAACGGGACCCTCTTCGAGTACCTCAACCAAACGCGCCCTACCACCCTGGAACTCACCCTCTCAGAGGGCGTCTACATTGTACAAATGAAGGAAATCTCGTCCTTCAACCTCCGCTGGGGAATCGTCCATTTCGTGCTCCGAGACGATATCCTTGACGCATTGACGCGGAGCAACAAGAAGACGATTGGGACGGTCGCCGGCGTGGTGTCGGGAGGCATCGTCATCACCATCGTGTTCTCGTTCTTCTTGGCGACGGCTTTGCATCGGATCACGAGGGACTTGGTATTATTGAGCGACTTCAAGTTTAAGGATGTGCTGCAAAAGGATTTGGATAAGTCGTCGGGGGTTTCGAGGCCTTCGTTTAGCAGGATTGCCGAACTGTGAGTTTATTCTGCATTTTATACGTACATGCGGGATGTGGGCGCCCCCTTGCTGACTTCCTATCCCTTTCGCTCGTCACAGCTGGCAAATCCAACGCGCATTCCACAAAATGGTTGTAACCTTCGCCGGTGCCGTCTCGCAAAAGCGGTTCCTGGAACGCGGCACTGGCGGAAGTACGATGACACCCCCGATCAGGGCACCTGCCAGCATGGTGCATGGAGAGTCGGCGG